TATCATACACAGTTAACAAAAATTACTTCGAAATTTAATATATATATATATATATATATATATATATATATATATATATATATATATATATATATATATATATATATATATATATATATATATATATATATATATATATATATATATATATATATATATATATATATATATATATATATATATATATATATATATATATATATATATATATATCGTCACTCATATAGACACAACCGAAGTATTTCCAATATTCTACAAGATAAACAAACTAGCTTCCCTAATTGTGGGAAGTCTTGTCCGCTTTTATGCCATAGAGTGTCTCAAGGGTTCTCAACTCAAAGTAGCTTAAGAGAATCCGATTTTCGATAGAATCTTAACAATAGGCGGGGATAAGAGCATTGCTGACAAAAGAGCGGGGGTCTGACCTGTCCAGTTTAAACTCGGGTATTTGGATTTAACCGACATTTTCGTAAGCCAATACTTGTAATTTCTATTTTTGAATAGGTGATGTTTGCACAACAATGTCTGCCCTATAAAAGGGTGAATTTTAAGGCATCCGCTACAGTAACGAAAATCTCTGCTTTGTTGTTACCGAAATATTATCTCTACGTAATCTTTCGGTAATCGTTATAAGAGAATACCTCCATAGGTATATAGACGATTTAGAAGAAAATTGAAAGAACATTTTGAAATTAACAATTATTTGACATTAAAGAACATAATAGAAAACATCAAATTAAGAATCAATGTCAAGACTAAAAATTCCATAACACTTTTTTGCACTTGCACAAAAAATTTAAGTTGATAGTTTTTTATTTACAAACAAAAATAATTGGCACAAAAGCAAAATCTACAGGTGATTGGCCGATATTTGAAATATTAATAAATAAAAATCTAAAAAGATTAATACAATTGCACGTGTGACACTAGTCAAGATACTTTTTGCATGAAAATTGAAAAAAATGCTCCTATACTGGTAGAAAATTGGGATTAGATTTCGGTAATTAATCTGTCTTTTAAACCTCATTTTAATAAGATGATACGCACTGCATATGACAATATGAAGGTGTTATATCAAAACAGACAATTGTTGTCAAAGTCATTAAAAATAATTCGTTGGTTTAAGTCGCTTAATTTTTGTGATACTGTATAAATGTCCATGTTTGGATTTGTGTAACATCAACATAATACAAAGGTTCCGAAAGACGTGTTTATTTTTCATTCATGGTATACGCGCCAGGGATCCACTTTCATACACATTTGAAGAAACAACGGCGTTAACAAGGGAAAGTAGGGGTAAATTCCATTCAGTTACATTGTTTCATAATATAATATTTAATAAGCGTTGCCGGTACCTTTTTAATCAAATTAGCTTTCGTACTGACGTGCATACGCTGAACTTGAGGTATCGACTTCACCGCATCAACTAACCAATCCTCTTTCAAAGATCTTCTTTCTCTTATAACGTCTATAATCTGTACAATGGAGAAGAATTGAAAACTTATTTAAGGGTCTCTATAGAAAGTACCTTTTCGAGAACGATTATGTGTAATTGTAAAAAACTTATCTATTTACTGCTTGTTAAGGATTGGACATAAAGTGCACGTATCTATTTCAATATTACTTTCAGCCTCTAGGGGTTGAACTTAAACTTTTTGTACATGTTTTCAACTTTCTTTTTGCAACGGTAAGGTTAAATTTTGTAATACTTGCTGCATTATTTTGTTGCGAAATGAATATTATTATTATTATTATGAAGTCTAGGTACATCTGGAAGAAGTATAGTTTTGGTTAGTTACTAAAATATGTGGACGTCATAAGAAACCAATAAATAGTCTTGAGAAAAAGTTTAAATTCGAAATATGTCAAACTATTATTATGGGCGTATTGCATTATTGACATGCGGAATTCTATATTGGAACAGGGGAAGCAAAATCAACAAGATATTTATTTTACAAAGAAGCGTCGTCAGAATTACGTAGGTGCTCTTCTGGCAGGCCCTCATATAACATTCTAATTATATACAGCACCTACGTCATAGAAGTACAAATAATAATCTAATATGTCTGTATAGAAGAGTTTTTAGTAGATGTTTTTACTGAAATTCTCAAACTTATTCTAAATATATGTAATGTCACACCCCCATCCTAGAAAGATCTACTTAATAAAGCTGGCAAGAATTAAAGGATTGATCTAAACACATCCTTAAATCTCATATCTCGATGCGCGTGATCAGTATAAGACATAAAGAATTGCGACGCGTTAAAATATGTTTGCTCCAGCGCAGTTTACTCTTGTTTCTAATTAAACAAAGAAATCCGAGTCCTCGAATGATCTGAAAGTCGTACGGTGTTGCGCCTGCTTTATAATAAGTTCCGAACGCTTCCAATTCCTAATTGGCCTAATCCACCGAGTTTTAAGAGGTTTTAGGTACCTATCGGAGCGGCGTTTGTTTGGGTAATCTCACGCTGCGCCGGTCCATCAAAACGTGTAAAGAGAACAGCGTGAGGTAGACGTTGCGCTTTTTAAGTGCCAGGCCAAATGTGTGGATACGATTGTTCGAAATCACTTTTCTTTAACGCGACATCGGTCGAGAATAATCGTTTTTTTTCCGCGTTTAGCAGCATATGGATGCTTGTTTATGCGACTCGTGATATAGTAATACTATGGCGTCGCAGACACAATTTGCACTGGTGCAAGTATATGGTATTTCATTTATTGTTACTATATTATATTCGCATTGCCCAAGCTTTTCTTCACTAATTTCAGATCATAGCATAACAAACATATAATACAGAGACCAATTAGTTGTACGACTGGCGCAGTCTAGCTTGGAATTAGCTACTCGACTCAACCAGTGCGCCGCACAATAGTATAGGACAAAGTTTAAAAAAAAATTGATAATGGCGTCTTATCTCAGCTACGAATTTTTAAAGCACAAAAAATCTGTAGATGCAATATTTTTTTCTTATATTTAATTTTAAACATCCCTGTTATGTACTTCTCGTCTAAACACTATTCGTTCCAGAATCGAATACGGAGTATCAGGATCGTTAATAGTCTCCATTAAAAAAGTACAGAAATGTATTCTTCTACGAGACTCCATCTTAAGCCACCCAATCTGTTTATAAAAATTAGAAATATGATCATATATTCTTAAACCATACACAAAGCGCACACGTTGGTTTTGAATTTTGTGAATTCTACACTCACTTTCATTATCTAAACGGAAACCATATTCAAAATGACAATAATTAAAATTTGGTAATACAGAGGACTCGCGCAACTTTTGACTTAAAATGTGTTTATTACTGTATAATATTTTTAGTGCCTTTTGAAATATGCTTTCCAAATTTTATTTAAATCTTAGCTCGCTATCTATGCAAATGCCCAAGTTCTTAGAATTATTAACGAAGTTAAGCACTGTGCCATCAATTAAAATATTTAAAGAAATTTTGATCCCTTTAATCTTATTTTCATTACCAAAAAGTAATAATGAAGATTTTGTAGGGTTCAACTTAAGATTATGGGTTTTGGACAGTTCATTCAAACTTCGTAGATCGTGATTTATGTTTTATTCTACCTCCACAAGATCATCAACATCAAAACAATAATAAATTTGTGTATCGTCGGCAAACGCTTGACTTTAATATCAAGTTTATGATTTTAGAATGTCCGAAGTATACACAATAAATAACAGAGGACCTAAAATGGACCTGTGGCACCCCCGAGAGTATATGCGAAAATTAGTCAATTGTGACGATATTAATTGTTGCCATTATTATTCATATCAGCATATTAAAAAATAATAATAAAACGATGTTAATATTTTACAAAATATTTATTGGTGTGTGACAGCTGTTTCGGTAACACCGCGCAAAGAAACTAATAACATATCATTAAATTGTGTACTTGGTATAAGAATCTGACTCTTAATGATGAAGAAAAAAGTAATGAAACTAAAATAATTAAGATAATAATTAAAATTATTAAATTAAAATTACTCATCGAGCGTCAGTACTATGACTGTGCAACAGAAATGATAAGGAGGATTACTCTGTAGCAATCCGGATGGTATTTATGATGTAGTAGTATTTAGTTATTATAATTTTAATTAACATAAAACTACAATTATATACCTACATGCTCAAAAGCTAGGATATCGAGTGTAAAATAGGTTCTGTTTTGAACTTAATTCGTTCACAAGGTAACCATCGAAATAATAGCCGATAATCTTTAGGCATTGACAAGAGGAAAAATGAACTCATCAGTCATCAAATCGGCGTGTTGTTACACAACGCTAGAGCATTACTTACTCTAATTACGTCTTAGCGCCCTATGCCTATACCTAGGTGTTAAGTATATCGTGAAAATTATATTATAGTCAGTATAATATCTTTTCTTCAAATTTACCATCTTCACACCACAAACAATTAAAAAAATAATAAAATGGAAAGGATTCAAGTAATAATTTTTATCTTATAAAAACGCTTTCTTTTTTCCATGCAAATATACATAAATAATTAGCAAAAATTAGCAAAAAATGATCTCAAAAAATTGATGAAAATGATTCAGTATCCTCCTGTATGACTTGTATTTTATCCCTCGTACACTATATATGGGTAAACCACCAACACCGATATTGTACTTGCATTAAAAATTTAACCCGAAATCAGCTGTTTTTATTCTCGTAGACAGAAGTGGAATATTAAGTAGACAAGAAAATGTGCTTAACCGCAGTTAAAAAATTTCTTTCGCCTGGCATAAAACTTAAATCACAACTAAACTCTATATTACGATTTATTCAACATTGTCGCAATGATAGTTGGACAGATAGTAATTAATTATTAACAGACGCCAACATTAACGCAGACCAACTTAAGATGTGCATATTATAGAAAATATATTTAAGTCTGTTTTATTTTGCAATGGCAAAGAATCAACCAGGCAAAATTGTCGAAGGCAACTATATATACTAAGAATATAGTTTATCGACTTACGGTTGCTTTGACATTCATAGTCATCGCCGGTATTTGAGCCCCGTAGAAATGTCCCGCGGTAGGAGTGACATCGGTTAACATAATCGCCACTATCTCGCCACTTTCTCTGCGTACTAAATCATGCAGACACACAATCGCGTTATTGTTCCCCCAAAAACAATCGAAATCACAACGCACTAGGATGTCTCTGTACTACTATTGTCGAGATCACATAGCTCACTATTTTCTCGGAAGGGGAATAGCTGAAAATCAAAGGTTCCCCTTCTGTGTGAAACCGAGGTGGGCGTGGCGAACATCCAGAACCAATCAGCGCCGTTGCCATTTGTTACCAAACCACGCCTTCGGTTTTTATCTCTAATAAGAACTGCGCATGGTGGTTGGGCAGCTTAACAAATTACAACGTTCTATGAATGATATGGCATCTATTATTTTGTAAACAAGCACTTTATTAAGAACGTACTTAATGTGAAGTGGAAGGTGTTATTTCAGCAGCATGTTTATGTGGCGGTATTTTGGTTTAGAATCCGCGCTAATTTACGCTGATTTGTACTTTATTTACGCATCCACTAAGCACTGATTTTTTTTTCATAATCGTCACTACTTATGGTAATTACAATTAGAAAAATTTTGGATGCCTGTCAACTGCGCTTCGCCGATTTAAAAATATTGGCCACATTTAAAATTTAGAAAAGGTAGGTAGGAATTAAATAAAAAATAAATAATTAGGTGGCGGATAGCTCACTAGTAGATGCATCAAAGTAAATCACCATGTTTGATTTGAAGGGTGCTTTTTTTGCTTAATTTTCCGCCCAACTGTAGTTGATGACTTTGAGAAAGATCATTTTTATAAACAGCTTCTAGTAATATGTATAGACTTAGCACCGTTTAATTTTATTATATTTGTCTTTTCTGTGCGTTGCTTTTTTATATGCTTATTTGATTTAGTTTTTTGAAATAATAATGGAAAAAAATTAGTTAATAATTACTGCTTCAAGTGAAAAGGTGTTTTCGAATATTGCAATTGCAAAGACTGGGCAAAAATGCAGCAATACTATGATGTTAGCAATGAACGAATTAAAAAAAAACCTGTTGCATAGGCGGGTGTAATTGTTTTCCTGTTTTGTGTATTGGAGTCTTGTATTGTATATTTCCAAAGAGCTCTCAAAGACAATGGATGTGATTTGTATTATCTCCAAAAGTCATTATGAAAATATAATATTGTTACGTTATAATCCCGCAGAGCTCTTTATTTATTGCCCTTATCGGGAATTATTTTCTCCTACCTTATGTAGTCACCCTTCATATTTTCCTATCTACGTCATTGCAATTTTTTCCTAGCAAAAATCCCCGTCCTTTCTGGTATTTTTTCTGTAGCGAATTTGATGAAACAATGAATTAAGTATTTATTAAAACATTTTCAAACAATTTAAGTATAATAAATAGTACCTCAGAACCTCATATTTTTAAAGTATCTATGCGTTAACCAGACTAACTGATTTATTTTTTTAATGTGATTAATTATGCTTCTCCTTTTTAATTTGCTTACGCGTGATTTGAGAATTTTATTGAATAAAAAAAATAATTGGGTTTAGCGAAAATACTTTTGGCACGAATTAATTAATAAGTAACTAATAAATTGATAAATTGTATTCCAAATACACAAAAGCGGTTGAAACGTGTATGGCTAGTTTTTTAATAATGACAGTATAATTAAATCAAGACAATAAAGCCCTTTAAATAAGCGTACATATTGTTTATCAGGCTCTCTAGCAAAAGAGTAGTTTAGGATGTCCGTCTATTTATTGTATTTGCGGATGTATATTTTGGGGACAATAATGGTATAAAATAAAAATATCATGGAATGGTATAGATGGATGTATGTGCGTATTTAATTTGATATTTCCTTAATTTAGTCTTCTTTCCAGGTTTTTCTGGTTACATAGAATAGCGCGAATGCCGCCGCTTCTGTGTTACAACTCATGATGTAATATAAGACAGTTTATTATTACCACTATTTAGAAGAACTCAATGAAAACTGGAACCTATATATTCGGAGAGAGATCGCTTACAATCCAGTGATTTCTATAATCCTATTTCCTTATTTGAATAACTTTTTGTGATTTGCGGTTCGTGTAGGTGTAGGCGGGCCTCAACGTGCTAGTAAGTCCCTGTATGACCAGCAAGACGTATCTAATAATAATCACTAAATATTAAAATTGCACTTTTGGACGACACAAAGATAAATTTATACAATATAACACCGTAGCTTTTTTTTTTCGTTTTTTCCTACGTAAGTAAAATATAATATAGCTAGCTATAAGCAGAGACGCTTAATGATATCTAATTGATGAGACCATCAGGTGAACCAAACAGTCTAAATTCAATACATATCTTCCTAAAAAGGAGAATATCAACCTCAGGAATCTAAAATGTAAAAAATGAAATTTTTAACGTAATATATCAACAAAGTCCCGTTTTTTTATATTGGTCGAGTCGAGTGATGTCCGGTTTAGACTTCGCTGTGTTAATCATCTCATTATAAGCGACTTTTCTTTTCTTTTAAATGGTTATGGGCAAAATGGATTTAAAAATATTCATACGCTGCCATGTTAACTAAAATGGCAAAAGCAAATATTTGTTGGTTTTTTTAATAGGTAAGTAACTGCAATTTTAAGCGGACCATCAAAATATCTGAAATATTTCCAATCGAATAAGTATGGGTGGGTACCGGATTATTAATAAAGAAAGTTTATTTTTATTATTATTATTTAGAAGGTCCCAATGAAAAATCGCTACAATGGTAGTTTATAGCCAGTGATACCTATACCTATATACCTCTACTTATACCTACTTACTGAATAACTTTTTTTGATCTGTGTTTCATGTAGGCGTAGGAGAGCAGGCTTGTCGCTTTCTGGGGCAAAATGGCTTTTAAAAATAATCATTCCGTATGTTAATAAAACATAGCAAAAGCATTACCGGCAAAAATTTCTTGTTTTTTTTTAATAAATCACGGGAATTTTCAGCGGACAATCAAAATATCTGAAATATTTCGAATCAAATAAGTATGGGTGGGTAGTGGGTTGCATACCGACTCACAGAATGAGACTAACTCGCGCGACATAGCTTGACAGCGCGCGGCACTTTATGTGTACCTATAGCGGGAAAGATTATTTCTCCGTCTCCTATTGTATATAGTACCGAACGAATATATTGTTTGGAAATGGTCATGACACGGTTTATGAAATATTTAAAGGAGGGAGGGGACATCGTCGCGCCTTTCCCCCTTTAACTCCTACGCCGACCGTCGCGTCGGCGGCGAGATCAAAAGCGGAAAGATCCGATCACGTAGACTGAGTCAGATGGTACCACAATTGGCGACGATGCCGCGCGATGTCACGATCTCGACGATTTCTAGATATAGGATCTACGAGTGCGTGTAAAAACGTCGCTTGTCGTGATTCAACCGGGGCGACACCAGGAAAGCGAGGCGACGCGTCTGAGAATTCTATAAGGACCATATTTTTGCATACCGATCAGCGGCGTATCAAGGTTGAAATTCCTGCGGTTTGTCTTTGACTAAGGAGCAACCGAATAATATGTAGAACAATATAAATGTCAAAGATGTAGCATGAGTTTGAACTATTTGCTTGTTTGCGCAAAGTAAATTTAATTAGATTAGAAGAGGCGTGGAGAAAGCGACCTACAAGGTTCGGGTGATGTACCGTGCGCTCAATTTATCTAGATAACACTTTAATTGGCTGGAACCATTTTGTTCTTAGAGATATCAATGTAAACAAAAAACAAAATGTGTGGTTAGTAACCAAGTTTTTTTCCAAGTGACGTATAAAACAAAACACCATCAATTGTCTAACATATTTTTTTTAAAACTGAACACTCTGTATATTATATATGTGTTTAATAGAATATCTTATTCCGATTACAATAGTGTAACACACTTTATAATTTAGTCCACTCATTTTTGACAAATCGGCAAAAATAGGACATTTTTATATACTTTCAAAGAGAGACTGAAAAATAAAAATTTGTGTATCTTTGACATATTAGTAGACAACGTTGATGGTTGAATTATTGTCCAAGTCATTAATGTTAAAATGGGTTTTCGCGAATTTTGCATCCGTGCAAAGAGTGATATGCTTCAAGCATACTTAATGAATAATAAAAGTGCAACTGCAGTTCGTCGTCAGTGTATTAGACTTTATCCAAAGCGCCGAGTCTCTGCAAACAGATATTTCCAAGGCTGACAAAGAAATTTGCGGAACACGGTAACGGATTAAATGCTAAAAAGGTATGCAGGAATTATAATGTTTAAAATGTTAAAAATTACAGCCAATTAAAATGTTATCAAGATAAATTGAACGCACGGTAAAGATATCCAAGTACCTAAATAAAAAAACAAAATTTAGCAGTCAAGTTTTAGCAAATGGCATATTTACCAAAACGCTAAACAACTTTCTGAGATAACAGCTTATTTACTATCTTAATTTTTAAGTTGTAATAAAATAAAGATAACCCGTTTTTGTTCTATTTTTGCCATTATCTCGAAAATAAACGGAATAACGTATATAGTGTGTAATATTATAATCACACGTATGAACTATTGGAAAAGAATCTGATATGTTAGAAAATTGTTACTGTTTGGTTTTACGTGTCTTTTAGTTACTAATTAGACTGCTATTTAGCTTAGACCACTATAAAAAACATGGTTGGCCCAAATTCATTTCAGGTCATCAGTACCATAGGTGCTACGAAGATATTTAGAGTGATTGCGAGAGAAATAGCCCAATATTTTGGGCATGAACATAATTTTTAAGGCTTTTAATAAAATTCCTTTTTTTTTATTCACTATTGAAACTTATGGTCGTAATTCTTGGTATTTTAGGTTCTGGTCATCTATTTATCCCTCCCAGATATTTGACAAACAATAAAGAAGAAGAAACAACAGAGAACATGATTGATTAAATGTATTAAAAAAAGTACATAAAAAGATAAAAATGAAAAAAAAGGGTCATGAACTGACGGTGACATTTTTCATAATAATTTAAGAAGTACATTTTTTCTTAACGTTTAATTTTTTATTTAAATTGTGAATGTCATTTAAATAGCATTTAATGTTTCAACGTTATATTTAAATTTGTTTCTAAAAATAAATAGACCAACTTATTTCTAGTAATGAAAAGAAAATGAGCAATTTTTTAAGAATAAAACGAAAAATCATGGACGCCGATATGGACACAATATTCAAAAAAATGCTTTTAACGGAAAATAAATTCGAAGCCCAATTTTATTGCTTATATCAATACTCTGTAATTAAGTAATCAATATTTAATTGCAATGCCTACCTATAGCTTAAAGCCGTTCGTTATTATAAAATTATATTGCAGTAATTATAATATTGCGGTAATTATTATTATTATTCTATTAAAGATGATACTTTTAGAACGTGCCTGAATGTTACTAATTTACATTTTACTGTTCAGGCTCAAACGTTTACGCTCAATTCTCAAATATTTCAGGAGCCCCCTTTGTGCCGCAACAAAAACAGATTTAGGTAAAAGTGATCGACTAGTTTTCCGAAATATTTTTATACATCTTCTTCAAATTTCGAACAGTCTGGATATGTCGAAAACGAAGCCTTTAGGGTCCAATGTTTGTATGACTTTTTTTTTCTTAAAAATACTAGTGAGATTTTCAAACTACGAAAAATCAAAATATCTTAAAATGACGTAATATTATACAGCGAACTCATTTTTCTTGCCACTCATTTCACTATTTGTCGTCATGTATGAAAAACGAAACATCACTGCCCAGGTCCAAATCATGGTTGTTTTAATGGGTTTTATAACAGATATTTAAATTAATAATGGCATTAATGTATATTGATAATGATAATGGTATCGACCGGTAAGTCCCTAATATATATACTATTAAATATTACGTATTTTCTAACTAATAAAATGGTGTAAGTGTATATATTTGACATGATGTCATTATTTCTAAGGAACGGTTTTAAAGTAACATTTTTGCAAAAAAGTGGAATGTTTTCCTTCCAGCTTCTTATTCGAAATCAACCTAGAGGTAGATCAGTAATGATGAGAATACAGTACGACGGTTCTTTGTAAATTATGAAAAAAAAACCATAACTAGTTTAATTTCCTGCCAGTGTTCGTAAGATTCATGGGGCTGATGTAATAGATCAATTAATTTTATCAGTTAAACATCTATCAGAAGAGGCACAAGAAGCTCGCAGCACAGTTACCACAATATATGTGGCGTCATTTAAAAAAATATGTCGAAAAAATACAAACATATGTGAGTTTCTTCAAATTCTAGAATGTCCGATTCAAGACGCATAAGAGAGCCACGTCAAAAGAAATGCTGAAACATGCCGTGGACGTAGAGTAAATAGTGATTAACTAAACAATTTTAAAATTAAATTAATAATGTGATATTCCATTGTACAAAATATTTGCCTGCTTAAATCTCAGTTAAAACTAACTTGTTCCCTATTCATTTGATTTTGAGAAAAGTACTTTTGCTAGGTTAACCGTGACAAACTACTAGTGACAGCTAAGGTGTCCTAAAGGAAGATTTTTGACATTAATATTAAATTGTTTAGTAGCCTGAGTACTAAAACGTTCTAAAAATAGTTTTAATAACATCAAAACAGTAAATTCTGGATAACAAAATTTTAAAAATGTCGTCTTCAGTTGTTGCCGATGTCGAAGACGAATTATTAAGCCCACAAAGCCAATTTCATAACGTTCTCTATAGCAACGGACCGGCGCTTCTAAATATTACCTCTCTCGTTATTAATTTTTTCCAAAACAAATAAAAAAGTGGGCACCGTGAAAGACTTTATCTAAGCCGAATCGGTTTCGGTCCTTGTCAGTTCAAAGATTGAACCGCAATTAGATGACGAGATGAAGGCGCCTGCTGACTTACCCAGCCGCATTATCGTCATTATAAAAGTCATCATCATTGTGTGTGGATGCGATGGAAGAATAGTCCCACCAAACTATTTAAAAACGACCTGCCGACACGACCGCTCCACGTCTGCTGCGGGCTAAAACCCTTCAGCGATTGGCTTCTTCTCCTTTGTCGTTAGTTTTTTTTTATCTAATGGTTGATTTCGATTGTCTCTATTAACGTTCCCGTTATTGAAAGACTATACAGGCAAGTAGAAATTGAATTTTCACCGCCAGAAATATTACGTTAAGTTTTTCTTTAGACTTTTATCGTTTCCTTACGAAGAACCGCCACCAAATAGAGAATTAATGATAGAATGAACTTTACCAGAACAAGTCATGAATGAAATTGAGTGAAGCAACGAAGGAATCCTTCAAAATTTAATCAAATTCTGGACTGCGGACAGAATCACAACAGACCAGCAAGTTTCGGTCCATGCTGGCAAGATTTACACAGAACTAGGACGAGGAAGGAAAAACAAAAGTTTTTCCTTAGACTTTTATCATTTTCTTATGAAAAAAACGCCACAATAGTATATTATGCAACAAGTGCGGTAAACGGCATTTGACTCACGAGTTTATTTGACACGAGCGGAGCGAGTTTTTAATAAACGAGTGAGTTAAAAAGTTTACCGAACGTGTTGCATACTATACTTTTTCTACGACCATTAGTTTTCAGGTACATTTTCGCAAAACAACACGAATACATTCACTGACATGACCGTCAGAATTGACAAACGTCAAAATTCAAACCGTGGGAAATATCTCCGAAAACATCCGATTGCTCCCAAATCCGTGCCGTAAAATCCCGGAAATGTCAGAAGTGGCTCGGATTCGTGGGAAACGAAACTGACGTGGTAAAGTGACGCTTCTCGCACGCTAGATCAGTGGGTAATTAGGTATTTTGCAGACGGGAGTAGAAAAATATAATAGCATATTATGCAAGAAGTGCGATAAACGGCATTGGACGAATGACTTAAAAAGTTTACCGAACATGTTACATACGACCGTTAGTTTTTGGGTACATTTTCGCAAAACAACACGAATACATCCAGTGACATGACCGTCATAATTGACAAACGTCAAAATTCAAAGCGTGGGGAATATCTCCGAAAACATCCGTGCAGTAAAATCCCGGAAATGTCCGATGTGGCTCGGATTCGTGGGAAACGAAACTGACGAGGTAAAGTGACGCTTCCCGCACGCCAGATGGGTGTGTAATTAGGTATTTTACAGACGGGAGTAGAAAAAAATCAATGATAAACTTATCAGAAAGCAATGAATAGTTTAAAATTCAATCAAAGTCTGGTCTATGCAGAGCTTAAGTAACTTAAAACTATGATGAATTTTTAAGAAAGATGGCGATATATCAAGTTTAAACACAACACACCACACAATAAAAAAAATAAACACAAATAAACACAATACACAGCAAAATGCCACATAGGTGCCAAATATTCCTCCGTACAAAAAGATTTACAACCATCATCTGTATGCAACATAGAATTAAGACTTTCCTCCATTCTGGGTCTAAATAACTTTTAGGTAAATGAACCCAGAAACCAAATGCATAGTTCTTTGGCTACTTCTTATAAAAGTTTGGTATATTCGTCAAAATCTCCCTTCAAATAAGGAGTAGAAGTCTGTGGGAGTTCCACCCTATTTCGCGAGAAGTGTAGAGGTTTTATACCTAGTTTTGGAAACATATGTCTGCTGTAACTGCCTTAACTGTGCTCTAACCTCTCGTTTAGACTTAATGAAGAAACCAGGAAAAAATGAAAGAAACTTGAATATATTGATCATCTTGTGACAGATCATACTAACTGCTACTACGAAACTTGATGACGGGAAAAATAAATAGAAGAAAAAGCCAAGCAAGGGGAAGAATCTAGTAGATGAAAAAATTGTTAAACTTGCTTGAACTTGAACTCCAGCTGTTTACAACAGCTGCAAATAAAATCCGCCTAGTTATGATTGGATTCAACCTTGGCTTGAAGACGGAACTAGAAGAAGCAGGAGGAACATAATTTAGTTTATAAAAAATGCTTCGCGAACGGACGTTAAAAGTTAATGTATTCAAATCGATCAAGATGGTTTCGAAAATAACCCGCTGCGTGTGTGTTTTTTTTTGTGTTTTACTTTCATTACAGTTAATAATACCGATAAAAAATTAACATTGTTTATATTACGGCGCATAGCTATTCTCAAGTCTTTAGGATTATGATTACGAATCTATTCGAGCTTAAATGACCCGAAATACGTTACGGTGTTATTATTAGGCGTAATAATACGGTAGGTGGTCATATACTCCAGATTGAACGGCGGAATATAAAGACGCGCGACTCTCGGTAATTTCGATCACAAAATAAACACGCTTGGTCGTTAACGGGCATTATACCGAGCCTTATATCCAAAGGTAACTAGTTTTTTAAAATAATGCTGAAAATTTCTACTACCGGATATCATTTCCTTGACTTTGTTATCGTGATTGGTTTCCTGCGAAGGATGTCCTCTCCAATTGGGACTTTCGAGTTACGCAAGTTGGGGTGACTGGCACTATCTGCCGGTATTTACCCTCAAGCGAAAATTCCATTTAAAACAGGGCAGGCTTCAATTCCGCACCCTAAGATTATCCAACCAAATTATTATCCTCCGGTAGGGGGATGCTGGGAACTCCAATAAGTGGGCATTTGGAAATTGGAAGTAAATTATCAGTTTGTCTCCGATATTATTTGACGAGAATAAAAGCCTCATCTATAACCTGTGGTAATGGAAACCCGGTAACAATGACGGTTAACTTTTAAACATACACCATGTCTAGATGGGGTAGACAACTGGACTAAAAAATGACAGACATAAAAAATACTTTTTGATGAGAACAGCAGTGGAGGAAAATTCTTGTAGATAGGCTTGTCAGTGATAAGTTTATTTTTTTATTTCTTCTCCCTCTGTAAGCATACATACTAAGTGTTTTCCAACAAGAGGCGTTATTACTTTCGAAAAATCGATGAACTCGATTCTTTTTGAAAGTATATGCCCTCCTCACTAAACTGGAGATCTCGGTAACGGTAGGTCCTAGAGGACCGCCATTGGTACAGAACTGATCAGCTTGGAAAAAAAAATATTTTCTTGTCTGTTCTCTGTTGCAGGGTTTTTCGACGATAACTTCCGAACGGTTTATGCTACACGCCCCAAATAAAAATAAATTGCTGCGTTCAAGCTTCGGCGTCCATATATTTTTTTCGATTTTCGACTGTTTTTTGGACGTCGCTATGAAACACGATAACTGCCCGACATTTGAAGCTATCGACTTCACATTTAGCAGGAAAATAGCGTTTCGTCCCCTAACAGAACCTATTGAAATTGGGGAGGATTGGGGGGTCGGGAAGTATTTTAAAAAAATTAAAAATCGCGTTTGCAAGGGTCTAACAAAAAAATAATTTCTCAAAAACCGGTTGTGCAACCCAAAAAATTCTTGAACTTTTATTTTTGATAATTTTTCAAGAATATACAGGGTGCGCTGCATAACCAAAAAAACTGAAAAATGGGTCCCCTTAATATTGAAAATTGGCTATAACTAAAAAAGTATGTTTCAGATGTTGGTTTCTTTTACATGACGATATAGCCCGTATAGATGGCTAAAACTTTTGTATTTAAGGTTTTGTAAATTGGATGAAATAAAATTTTTTTTTTGGTTAATTTGGCTCCCAGAAAAACATGTTTTTGTCCATAACTATTCAACCGGTCGGCAAAATTCTTTAACTAGCAAACGCGGCGGACCCATTGCTCTAACATTTATTTCAAGCAAGACCCAGAAAATTGTTCTTTTCCCGAGTAGATAATTAACCGCAAATCAAAAATCGAAAAAAATATATGTAATCGGTTCAAACAGTTCAAACAGACTGCCCGAGATATTTGAAAAATTCCATTTGAAAATCACTATTCCTCGCGATGAAGTTACTGATTATTACGGCGCAATGCATGGTTTCACAAAAAACAAAGTATTTTGTTTAAAGAGTTGAGTATTAAGGCTTATAAAGTTTAGAGACGGTGCTACATTCGCTACAAGCAACAAAACTATTGATCTTTTACGGGAAAACTTTCCGGACCGTGTTGTCTCACATTGGCAACCGAGAGCTTGTGATTTTACACCTTGCGACTTCTTCCTTTGGGGCCACGTGAAACAGACCTTCTACGGCAACAACCCAGCGTCGCTTCAAATCTCAAAGATGGAATCCGTGGATCATTTATCTCAGAAAATGCCATTTTTCTTTGAATATCAAAATCTCTTATTGAAAAACCCCTTACATAAAAGACAAACGATGTTTAAATTATTTGTTAAAATAAGCACACACTCCAAAAGTTGCCGAAAAAAAAAGAGTCACAAATTCTTGATAGCAAAATATGATCATCTAACTAAACTTACTTCGGCTCAAAACTGGAAGATTTCGCAGATACAGAGTGACAAAAGTTAAATTTAGTTGGGTTTTTTAAGTGACCTTTTGTAAGGGGTGTAAAATCGTAATATGTTTAGCTAGGAGACATTTTATTAAATTTTTATAATTTTATTTTAATTTTATTAAACGGCTGCTGAAGTCAATTGGTACTTAGATCAAAGTCGTTAGAGAGTAGAATTTTTATATTAAAGCTAAATATGTACAATGTGTCGGAAAAAAGCAAGCCAACAAAGCTAATTCTATAAAAGCACCTTTTTGTTGTACAGGTGGGCCAAAAAGTTGTTCTCTCATTTTTCTGTCATTCTTGTTTTTATCCAAAACTCAGTGGTTCAAACTAAAATTGCCTATCCGCAACTGATTTTTACAATGCTACTCAACATTTTTTCCTTTTTCATTGTTATTACATTAATATTGAAGTTACTAAAATTCATTATTCTAGGCAAAGCAAACTTTATATCCTAAATATTTTCATAACTATTAAGGCAAAATATAATGTGCGTCGGATATTTAAAAAGTTCTTCATTTTTTATTTCATTAGAAAAATTTGATTTTGTATCAGTAACTCATAGGGTAAATGTGGGAGAGATGCCGCACATTTTTATAGATTTTCATAACTGTTACACCTATCGAGATAAAATAAAATTAAAAACACATGTTTACTTTTAGAACATTTATTTAAAAGTAAATATGTAACAAAACCAATTTAAATAAAACAGTATTCTAAGAAAATATATTTTATAATCCCATGTATTTGGCCATCTCTCCTACATAACGTGGGTGAGTCGCCGCATAGTACATGGGAGAGATGGCTTACGAAAAATAACATTACATCTTTCTTCTAACTTGATCGGCTTTTAATAAAAGCCTTCCACATCGATTGCAAGTGGTTTTGTATATTGAGCAAGTCTCGTGTAGCCAATATCCACAGCGAACGCATTGAATCCAATCAGCACGTGATTTTGTTAAACAGTATTTTTCAAGACACTCCACACATTCGTTTTCGTCAATATCACTGCAGTCATTGGTTGGAGAACAAATTGGCATTTCTTCCTCAGACTCAGAAGACGATGATAAATCTTTTTTTTGTTTAAGTTTTATTTTTTTAGCTAAAGGCTTAACTTTTAGCTTTTTGTCCTTTTTGGTTTTAGTTTTGTTCCCTTTTTTGTGTTCAATATAACTGGGGCTTGTTAGATGTGCAGCCGACTGTTTTCTGCGCTTTGTAGTGTTAGAAAGAATAGGAATGGGCGATATTTGTTGCAACATTTTGCCAGGAGTGATATCAGTGCTAGCCGAAGTAGAAGGTTGAGGTTGAGCTTCTTGCGATTTAACGTTGATTTCTAATGATGGATTCGGCGCAGCGTTTTCTTTTTCGGTATTGCAGGTTTTAGTTGCAGTGTCTTCAACATTGTGTGCATGAGCTACGTGCAGGTCTGATACGCTGAAAGCGTGGTCCGGAACTGACTCTGGATTAAGTGGAAATGCTCCAGTAGCACGAAAACCATTAATAGCCGTTCCAGCTGTAGCTGCGCGAGACCAAGCACTACTTAGCAATGTGCCAAATTGCATACGAGTAATTCGTCTGCCTTGATGTGTTTTAATCCACTGGTCGCAAGCCTGATAAAAAAACGTTTTCAACGGTTTAAAAAAACTACGATCGAGTGGCTGTAAATAGTGTGTGGTGTGGCTGGGCAAACATACCAAAGAAATATCATTTTCTGTCGCAAATTCGAGGCAATCTAGACTCATATGCGATCCATGTCCATCAAGAATTAGAACAGTCTTCCCTGGTGGCTTGCGAGGGGCAAAATGATTTTTCAACCAGTCAAAAAATAGCTCATTATTAACATAAGCAGACAACAACAACCGAACCAGGTGGCATGCCGTCTTCAAATTCCTTTTTTTTATTTACCCCTTTAAATATGCAGTAGGGAGGTAAGAAATTTCCTTCAGAGTTACAGCAAGCTACAACGGTGATTGTCTCCCCTTTCTCCCCAGACGTTACTGTGTGAACTTCTTTGCTACCTTTTGCTGCGATAACTTTACTTGGCACATTATTTAACTGAAGGTCAGACTCAACATTAAAGACATGACCTGGTTTATCAAAGACATCGTTAGCTTCATAAATGCTTTCTAAAAGTTTAAAATATTCTTCAACTTCTTTTCTATTCATACCCTCCGCCCTTGCAGTTGATAGTCCCTCTGCCTTTCTTAAACTCAAATCACGATTCCTTTCCATGAACGATCGGTACCAGTGATCTCCAGCTTCTTCTTTTTCAGTGTTAAATTTGTGTTTTAACCCCAAACGTTGAGCCAAGGTATAGGCAATTTGTTTTACGGTTCTTACAGTGGGAGGAAAGCCTGCTTTCTGAAGAGCTTTAATATGCCCTACTACCTTTTTTCGGATTCTTGGCCAAGAGATGACGAAGGCCCTTGTACACCCTTTTCAAAATTATTGTTTTTTAACCTTCTTCTTAGCGTTCGCTCTGGCACGTTGCATATTCTACCAGCCTCTCGTACTGGAATACTATCCTGTTGTACTAAATTTATGGCAGTAACCAAATTTTCTTGAGTCCATCTTCCTCTATTAGATTTTCGTTTATATTTGCGAGGCATATCCAACTAAAATAAAACATCGAATTAATGCGTCATCTCTACCACAAACTTCTGCTGCGTCTATCCCAAATGTATGGGAGAGATGCTGCAGCACATTTTTTGTGACACTTATGATCCACGAAATTAAAACCCGGTGGTAACATAACCTTACTTATCCTAAATCTCCTATAAGTTAATTGCAAACCAAATTTTATTCGTTTAGAGGTATAATTTTAACTTACAAGAAACACTGAATAAATTTTGTAACTTACCTGAACGTTATTTTAACAAACAAACGAAATATTTCTTGAGAAAATCGTTTATTTTCAACCGGCGTAATGGAGTTCTCAAGGTTAGCCATCAACTAATTGTAAGGAAACACAAGCGCCTTTTTAAAAAGTCGCAGTGTTGCCAAACGTACACCGCGGCATCTGTCCCACTGCGGCATCTCACCCACATTTACCCTATGCGGAATTCCCCCGCCACTCCACTCAAGATATGACCAATTTCCATACGAGTAGCACAAAAACTATAGAACATAAGATGGTAACGAACAATTTATTTGAGGCTATGTTTGACATCTATGTTAGTAGCGTCATCGGTGCAAAACACCCCTCGGCCCACCGACCATATAAACTCAACGGAATTGCGAAAAATCATCGGGATCGTTTGCGCGCCACACCCAATATTTCAACTTACCCCTCCCATATGGCTTAAATCTTACTTAGTTAGCACGTACTTCGTATCGTGAATAAACACATATTCATGGCGTTTCTGCGCCGCATAACGTGA